GGCATGAACTCACTGTGCATGTTCAGTCACAGATGTGGGGACCGTGTTGGCCTTATATTGTGCAAGTCATCATTACCTTATTAAGAGTGAGCGCTTCAGATCTTGGAACGACACTGGCCTCAGGATCTTCTGTGTGACTTGTTCGATTATTAACAATTCTACAATCTCACCACATCTGAGGCAGTCATAAAGGAATCGACAGTGAAGATTTAGAAGTAGTTCACAGACTTGTGTATATTTTTCTTTAAATCACCAATTCTCTTTCTGTGTGTTTTTCAAGGGGAATTCAGATTCTGCTCCAAATTGGAAGACGTTATGGAGAGGCAGAGCTAAGCAGGAAAACATTTGAATGTTCAAGTCAGAGTTTTAGATCATAATTGTTAACCTCTGTTTTGTTCCAAGGGCTGCTTTTAATTTCTACATTTTTGGGGGGGCTTTTTCTTGTTTACGTAATCAACCACATGTTCTAAATGCTACGCCTGTCAGCCAGTAAGCTTTTTACCACGCACAGCTGAGGTTTCTATTGATTTAGAGTTATTCAGTGCAGTTAAATTATATTGTTTTTAAAACAGCTATTAAACAAAGGCATATCAGGCATATAGGGATGTTACAGTATGAGCTAATTGCTTTTTTAGTGCTGGATGTAGCGGCCAATCATAAAATGGTCCTAAACACAGTCATAATGACCCATTTTCTCTTAGCAGGAGGGAGAGATAGTGACTTGGACCAGCACCAAACAAACAACTCTTAATGACAGTAGATAGGAGGAACTCACACATGTATACACAAACCTCTACTGATCCTTGTTTGAGTGTACTGAGTATAAAACACTCGAGCTGTGGAAAATATGTAAAAAAAAACAAAAAACCTATCCTTACTCTAAAGTAAAGACCGCGCTGTCAGCACAGGTTTACACACAATTTTACATAATCTGTTAATAAGTGAACTTTTTCTTTTATGGACACTAACTGGTAATTCGGAATCATCATCATGACTCTCTTCACAGCTTTATTACTTATTAAGCTGCCGAGGAAGTTGCCGTAAATGTGCGTCGTGCAGAGGCGGATTTGGGTTCTCATGTATCAGATTAATCACTAAAACATACAGCCTTTCCTAAAATACCACCAAGTCTGCACTGTGGTAATGTGTTCAAACCCCACACGGACCACACAGGCTATTTTTGGAGTGCGTGCGCTTTAGAGTTGTTTTAGATTTCAGTCACTTCTCTGTCAGTGGCACCGCACATACTTTGTCTGTCGCTCTGAAAGACAATACTGGAAGGTTTGGGTTTGAATCCCACTATGAGAACAGGGCAGAGTATGTGCTTTATCTGTCAGTCTCCAGGCCTGTGGGTTTATGTGGGTATGTCTGTGTTTGTGCATGTGCGCACGCGTGCATGTGTGTTTGTGTAATAGTCTGCGGTGGCTATAAAGACTCTAGTATTTGTGTTGCTGTAAAAGGAGAAGGAGGCTGTGCCAGTCTCTGGTAACAAACACATGCACATTAAGACACATTTTGCAATCAGGTCTTTGGTTTTGTGAGTTTCAGACACACACTAACACACAGAGCTCTATGGTTTTCATTTGCTATGGATATCGATGTTTGAAGCCAAATTATGATGGAACACTGCTGCTCAATCATTTAGCGGTTACACACAAACACACATTCCTTTCCTTCTCCTCCTGCTGTTAGTTTTATCCTCTTCCCTGTTCCTTTGCTATTTCCAAAGCCTCATCTTAAGCATGTTTAATACATTTATATCCTATTTTTCCAGTGTGTCCTAGTTTGGTGCCACAGCATTATGCTAAACGCTGCTGCGACAAGGAGTAGAACTGCAGTTAACATGAGCTCTCAAGTTTCTCTTTTCTCCTGTGCTTTGTGTTTCTTGCAGGCAAACATTAAACAAAAGTGTCACAGCGGACTTCATAAATCTGAACCTTCACTTGCAGGTTAAGTCACAAATTTTGGCATTTGCTGCCATCTGCTGGCATAATATTTTGTCCAACACGCGTTACATGTCTTTATTTGAGTTTACGATTTGAAACTGATTCCAAGACATATTTATGAATGTAAAAGTGAGCTATGCAGGGTCTGCTGATTAACAGGTAGTTCATGAGTACAAGGAGGCGTTCAGGGATTAGTTAGGATTGACAGGGACTTACATCAATGTTTGTAATTAATATTCACAATATCTCAAAATAGTTTTAATCATATTTGAGACCATTTCATATCTCAGATATGTTGTGTTTGTATATTTGTAGACCTGAGAGAACTTAGAGGAGCTATACAAGTGGATTTGGAGCTCAGCCCCTTTCTGTTCCCACCTTCGTCCCCTTTGCCTGCAAAGAAAGGTTTCAGGTTAGTATGCATTATTATTGTTGACAGCTATGTAATTAATATTAAAATAGCTGCTTCACTTTCGTTGCTTGTTTTTGTCTTCTTATTCCATTAAATATTTTGAATGTGAACACGATGACGCTTTTCCTGTAACACCATCTCAAAAAATACCTTCAACTGCTTCTTTTTGTTGTCATTGTGAATGAAAATTCCCTTAATTCATGAACTTCTGATTCATTTCCCACAGACTGACAGCAGCACAAAGCTCAGAGAGTCTGAAAACTTTATCTCCTCCATCAGTCCTAAGACCGCATCCACCTCCTCCTCTGTCCCCTCCTATACCCAGGCCTCCAGCTAGACCCCGTCTCTCTAAGATGTCAACATCCAGGACTCACGGTCAGCATAGAGTCACATCTGCTTTTAATAAGTCAAGCAAAACACCTACCTGCAGCACTGCTGACACATCTGGGCATACACACGGTCTCCTCACCACTGACCACATAATGAGAAATAATAACCAGTGTGGTTTTTGTCCAGAACAAGACAGTGCTGGTCTTTCCTGCAGGACCCCGGATTCTACGGCTAATTTTGAAGTAAAATCTGAGAGAAACTCACCCCTTCACAAAACCCATTTATCAGTAAACTGCAGGATTCACAGCCAAAGTCGAGAGTGTGAATGGTCACCGCAGAGGGAGAGAAAGAGCAGCCCTGCGTACAGGCCAAGACACATCAATATCACCCCGTCACCTGTTCCTGCTCCCAGCGGTCTCTGTAATGAAGGAAGTTGCAGCAGCAAAAGTACTGACCAATCTGTGGCAGCGAAATGGAATTCAGGTATTCAAAAGAGGCAGCAGGATAGTAGCTGTGAAGGCAGTTTAGAATCAGCGAGAGCACAGTCATATGCTGATAGCAGGAGGAAGATGTCTGAGAATTCAGTCATGTCTGAAACTCTGAGAACTCCTGCACAGACATGCAGAAGGAAGAGCAACGGTGAGACTTCTAGAAATTTAAGTGGTGCCTTCAGGAATGATGGCAAAGAGCAACAAAACCTGGGTGGCCAGTGTGCAACACTTTGCCCCTCTCATCCTTCAGCTGCATGCAGTCAGCGACCACCAGCAAAGATTAATGAACATTTTTTTACCTCTTCAAAAAAACCACAAGGGGGAAGCACAAGTCAGCCAAAAGAACCAGCAGAGCCCCAGTTTCTCCAGAGGTTTCATCAGCCAGTGCCTCCTACGAGAGTGCAAACTTAAAGACGACTACTACCTGAGGGTGGTAGTCATCTACCTTCTCTTTTTATTTTTTATTTCCAAGCTGGATGGATTGACAGTTGCAAAAAATGTTTTACATGGTTTGTAAGGATTCAAAAAATAATAATAACAGAATACAGTATGGTGTCTTGAGCCACCTCTTATTTCTTCATATATATTTAGGTTTGAATGCCCTCTATATTTTCATTTTAAGGTACTTTGCTGGGTGTTTCGGCCATTATCACTAGACACCTTCATCCAAGCAGACCATGCCAGGGTTGATCAGGCCCCGGAGTGTGTCACTGGTTTATGTTAAAATTGTTATTTCTCTTCTTCTTTCTTCTGTTTAGTTTTCTTCAGGTTATTTTCTATCTATTCACTGCAACTGAGAAATAATACTTACTTCTTTAGCATTTATGGAGCCTCACTTCTTCAAAGGGATAGAAAAGGTGATAGAGAGAAGTAAGACAAAAGGGACAAGATAGGAGAGAGCAGAGAGGAGAGCCGGAAGGGGGGTGCCGATCTGGCTGAGACAGCTGTATCAGTCAACTAGCAAAAGTTCTATTGTTATGTTTTACCATTTTGACGCCCCCTGTTGAGGCAGGGGGCTGACATCACTTAGCTGCCCAAGTGATGCCAGTCCTTTTTAGCCATAGCCAGTGACTAGTCCTCTCAGCAGCGTTAGCTAATTGTCTTATAGCCCGCCATTGCGCCTGTCCTCTGACCCCAATCTCTCTAAGCAGTTTTGCTGTTGTACTGGCAGCAAAGCCCCTGCACCCCACTTCCACCAGGGGCACCTTGATCGTCCAGCCTCTGTCTGCCTCAGCTGCCAAGTTGGCATACCGCAGCTTCTTACACTCAAATGCTTCCTCAATTGCTTCCTCCCATGATACCATCAGCTCAATGATGTACGCAAGTTTTGGGGAGTTAGACCAAAGGACGAGGTCTGGTCGCAGAGTAGTTGTTACAATCTCTGTGGGAAAAATTACCCTCTGATCCAACTCCACTTGCATCTGCCAAACCCTGTTCGACCTTCAGCGGGCCCAGGTCCGGGGTTCCTTAAGAATGGCTCCCAAAAACCCATTCTTAAGGAAGGAACGGCAAGGAAAATCTGCTATATGCCAATTTACACACGAACTGGACCAAAACTCAGTGGCAATAGATCTTATGGAGTGATGAATCCTGATTTGAAATTTTTGTTTCAAAACGTCAATAATTATAGAGCAGCTCAGGAAGTAGTCAGAACAGTCAAAAGCCATCTATAAAACATGGTGAAGACTTATCAGAAGACTACCTAGAGAACCAAAATAGGAAGGGCCTTTACTGGGCAAACACTGAGGTCAGTCATCTGTAACTTTTTGAAGAGGAGCCATGACTTTCATTTTTGGTTTCTTTCATTTTTGATTTGGTAAAGTAACTTTTATGCAACTAATGTGCAAATGTGAACTTCTGAAAAAATTGTGGTGAGATTGTGGCTACTGTGCTGTTGCTTAGCAGGGTTGGACTTAAAATTTGCCCCTTTTTTAAGGGGCATTTGTGTTATCTCATAGCCTTTGCCAGGACCTTTTTATTTTGTAATTTTAGAGAGGAAATTTAAATCCACCAATAAGAGCCAGCAATTTCAGGTGAGTCATCAGTTAACCAGCAGTGACATGTAACTGCATTCTCAGACATGCGTAACCAAAGCTTCATTATTTCTGTCGCACTGTTACTGTTCCTTTAAGGGACGTGTTTGGGTGTGTGTGCTGAGAGGGCGAGAGTGTTGACGGAGCTGGAAAGAAAAATCCGGCGTTAGCTGTCCTGTTACACACCAATAAACCGCTGGTGAAAGAAGAACTTCTGGTGCTTGGGAGTCTACACAAACGTTACAACACATTTGTGTACAGAAAGTGTTCAGCATCGCAAGAATTTATTTTTTACCTGTCAGACAGGAGAAATACTGAGGTCAGTCATTTGAAACTTAAAGAGGAGCCATGACTTTCACTTTTAGTTTTGGTAATTGTGAAGTAACTTTGACATTATATTCTATGCAATTTTTGCAAAACTTGTGCTGGGATTGTGGTTACTGTACTGTTGCTTTGCCTGGTGCGGGGCTAGGGTTCAAATGTAACCTTTTATTTAAAAATACGCTAGGCTTACATTTTATGTGTGTGCGCGCGCGCGCGTGTGTGTGTTTGTTTGTGTGTATTTTAGGAAGGAAATGCCTCCTTAATAGTTTAAATGTGAAATATTAAAATTCAAAACAAATATATTGCCTAATTTTTGCATGACAGAGGAAGATATTTCTCTGCCCTGCATGTGGAGAAGTCGGTTTCAGGTTTTATTAAAGCACATATTACTGTGCATTATGTGTCACCATGCATGTTTTAAAGTAATCCACCTGTTTGACAAGTAAAGGTATCAGGAGTTGAGACATGTTCTTTTTATTACCCATCTTAAATCATAAAACTTAATTAAAACTTAAACTTAATTACCTGTTGATTGCAAACAAAGTGTGACAAGTCCCATCATATGATTTTATGTAATTAGTATATAGTAATGCTGTATTAGAAGAAGTAGTGTGCTACGATGTATAATACAGTTATTTAAAATTGTAATATTATTGTATTTAGTTTAACATGTATTAAGTACAATTCCATATTTAGCTGCATATAATTATTTATTTAGAGCTGGCTGCATATTTTAAACTTACCATTTGTTCTCATTCCCATTTGGGTGCTACACCTTTCCTTTGCTTCTACCATCAGCTGAGCTATAACATAATGCAAATGGTAATAGTCAGCAAGTCCACAAATTTAGCCATATAGATTCACTTGCTTTGACTTGGAATAAGTCGAATTTTGATACGTTCCCTGATTTGATCAAGTTGGATGAAATAACTATCATGTTTTCTAATCTGACATCAATTAACATTCCCAAAATCTTTTAATTGATTGGTGGATAATTTGTTAGCATGTTAAGGTAATTGGATTTTGTTTTTTTAAACATTTTACCATTTGAACATGCATCCTTCACGGTGGGGAATGCCGGTGTATTTATGAAACAAACCCAAAGGCAGACACGGGAGAAACGAGTCTCAGCTGACTGATGGTTTCCCCAATCTTATAAACAGTACATTTGCATAATGACTGGAACCAGCCCACCGAAGAAACAATGGGCTGGGAGGTCAGTTCCTTTATCATAATTATGCAAATTCTCGTGACCATTGATCAACAACCACTAATCACAGACCTCTGTATGTTACTCTGTTTGTGTCGGGGGACCCGATCCATGGGGTGGACAAATTTTTATGTTTATAAGTTTATAAGACTGGGGAAACCTGCAGTCAGCTGAGAGTGAAGAAGTCACTTGGATGAGTGACGAAAGGTTTCTCCCACTGAAAATGCTACGTCCAGATGAACAGAATCAACCTTTGGAGAAAGGTTAGCTTTGTTGAATTAAATCTGTCTTGGGTTCTACATTATAGATTTGAATTCCATAACTTTAAAAGTGGCATGGCTAGTGTAGTAACTTCTGAGAACTATTGTGAGGCTCCATGATCAGCCATTGCTGTCTAAAATTGGTCCACTGGAGTGAGTGGAGATGACACGATCCTTACCCCTTGAGAACTCTGGCTGTGACCAACTGCCATATATGTCTCTGTAAGGGGCTAAGCACTCCTCTTGCAAAATAATTTATAAACTCAAAACCTTAAATCATATTCATCTAGTTTAAAATCCCTCAGTATCCCAAGAAGTTACTCTACATACCCAATGTTTGTGTGTTCCCTGATTTTGAAAATGTGGTCACGATATACTGATGTAAAAAGGTCGTTTCTGCTTCCTTGATGAAAAGTCCTTGATAAAAATATGAGGGAACTACAGGTAGGTCTATATAGATTTGGACACTGACATGAGTTTTGGGTTGTTGTTTTTTTTACGTGAAACATATTCAAATTAAAGTTATATAATGGGCATAATGTGTTGGCTCTCAGCTTTCATTTGAGGGTATCCATGTTCAAATTGAGTGAAAGGTTTAGAAGTTTCAATTCCTTATCATGTGCCGCCCGCTTTTACAAGTGACCAAAAGTAATCGGACAAAGGCTATTTCATTGTCAGGCGTGAGAAATTCCTTCACTATGTCACTATTAATTAGGCAGATAAAAGGCCTGGAGTTGATTTGAGTTCGGTGGTTGCATTTTGAAGATTCTGCTGTGAAAAAACAACATGCAGTCAAAGGAGCTCTCCAAGCTGCGAAAACAGAAAAAAAAACATCTGAGAAATTGCTACAATATTAGGAGTGGCAAAATGTAGTTTGGTTCATTGTGACAAAGAAAGAAAGCACTGGTGAACTCAGCAATGCAAAAGACCTGAACGTCCACAGAAGACAACAGTGGTTGATTATCGCAGAATCATTTCCATGAGAAACCGATACACAACAGCCAGCCAAGTAAGCAATACTTTCCAGGAGGTAGGCGTATCACTACCCAAGTCTACCATAAAGAGAAGACTGCATAAAAGTAAGGTTCACTGCAAGGTGCAAGCCTCTCATAAGCTTCAAGAATAGAAAGGCTAGATTGTACTTCGTTAAAATATCTAAGAAAAAAAAAAGTTCATTAAAGCAAAGACGTAGAATATTCTTGAATCGCCAAGTCAGTCACCTGATCTTAACCCAATTGGCATGCGTTTCACTTGTTGAAGACCAAACTTCAGACAGAAAGCCCCATAAACAAACACCAACTGAAAGCTGCTGCAGTAAAGGCCTGGCAGAGCATGGGAAACCCACAATTTGGTGATGGCCATGAGTTCAAGATTTCAGACTGCCATTTTCAGCAAAGGGTTTTCAACCAAGTATTAGAAAATAACATTTTCACTTATTTAATTTGTCCAATTACTTTTGAGCCCTTTAAATGAATGAATTGTGTTAAAAATGCTCTAGTTTATCACATTTTTATGCAATTTTTTTTTGTTCAACCCATTGAATTGAATCAACTTCATCTGAGTTGTTTTATTTAAAATTCATTGTGGTAATGTACAGAACCAAAATTTGAAAAAGAATTGTCTGTCCAAATTATTACAGACCTAACTGTATATTTTGTAGTTAGATGGCACTCCACTTACTGAAATGACTCCAGATCGAAAAGTGTACATCTCTTGCTTTTAAGAAAGAGCTTGTTTGAAATTAAGTAAGGCTAAAGTAAAAAAAAATAAATTTTCAGATGGATTTTTCTGCTTTTCCCACATAGAAAATTAGGTTCTCCACAACACGTCAACATTCTACCCATTCACTTGAATGCGATTTGGGGGGATTTTTAGGACTTAAAAATATAAAAACTATAAATTGTACACTCCAAAGAATTACAAGCCTTGGTATTGCAGCTAAGTAGTAGTAATAATAATAATATTCAATTAAAACAACCCAACATGTGGCATACTGTATTTTTCGGCATACAGGAAATTTTGAAATGCCTCTAATTCCCTCCCTATTCTGTAATCCATGCTCTGTATAGGTAGATAAACACTCAAATATTATTCCTTTCACTGCTGACCAAATACCTAGAGACATCCAACCCCCTTGGTTTTGTTTCCTTAGGTTTCAGTTTCACAGTCCACTCCTCCAACTACAACTAGGACTGAACAGCTGTTCTTCGTGATCTTTGGAGTTGTGTTAAGGTAAGATTTCCATCTCTTTTGTTAAATCCAAGAATTACTCACGATTACTGTGTAATGCACTTCAACATATTTCTGAAATAGTTGAAGATAATATTGTAATTAGCTGTAGCGCATTCAGCTGCAAAAGAAAGTCCCACGCATTCAGTTAGTCAACATGCCTCTTTGTGTATGCAGCTGGATATCATGACTCAGACGTCTGGCCTCTCCTATCAATAGGCATATGTTTATAGACTATTTTAATGAAGACAGAGGTGTGAGTCTATGAAGACATGTTGCCAAATGACCAGCTGAAGAATCCGGTTGTTCAGTCTGACGTCACTAGCCGTGTCTGGGTCTAAACTCCGCTGCAGGTCCATATATCAAACGATCACTATGGCATTACTGAGAGTTGAAAAACTGTCTAAAGTCTTTCATCTTTAATAAAATGATCAGCGTTCTGCTCTACCAGGTGTAACAATTGAGTTTAACATCCAGGCATCCATGAAAACGGAATTTATGACATTTAACGGAGTTAGAAGTTAGCAGGGAGTTAGCTCGCTAGCTTCTATCTAAATACAATATAGCATGTCCTGACTGCGGGGTTTTGGAAACAAATTAAAACGTACAGCTCTGCTATCACTTCCAGCATAAATGAAGACAGAAAACTAAACAGCAGTGACGTTTGTAGGGTTACTGAAGTTGGGCTAGCTGGTATATAATGATGTGCTACGTGACCGCTAGCGACACAGCTATGTTAGCATAATATAAACAAGCTAACTTTTTTTCCACTCGGTACCGTGAGTGTTCTTGGTGGTCAGGAACAAATGTAATCGCATGGCAGGATGCTGTAAAAGGACCAAACTTCAGCCAGGAGAACAACTGAGATAATCCATCCACAATAAGAGGTTAGTCATTCATATACTGCTGCATGGGCTGGGCTGTAGTTACATCCTAAGGCTTTAAAAACTGAGCTTAAATAAATGATTAGTGGTAATAAAAGCCGAGGGGGGTCAACAGGGATCACTGACTGTTTTAGGAGCTTTTTGAGATCAAATAGAAGAAAATACATAACATTAAACATGTTAACAACACAAAAGCCATATTAAACGCAGACTACTTTAGACCCGGAAGTAAGATTCGTCGCGTCATCACTGAACAACCGGATAGTTTACACAAATGTGAAAGTGTGCTCCTCTGAAAAAAAAAGAATAAATTTGCTTCAAGTTACTAGAATAAATTGAAAAGATAAATGGCCATTTAAATTTAACTGAATAACCAAATAAATAGTATTTTGTATTTTACATCTCATTGAGTTCATGTATTGTCATTAGTTTCAGACAAGGAGAGCAATGTAAATAAAATTTAATATCATAAGTTCTCTGATTTTGGTATTTGAGTGTTGACGAATATAATCTCCTGGTCTACGTTTAGATGGGTGCAATATTCAATCTACTTGAGCAGCACAGACTGGAATCATACTACAACCAGTTTGTTCAGATGGGTGTTAAAGATGAAAGAGATTTCCTGGACAGTGTGACGGAAGAAGATTTAAACAGCATTGGTAAGAATGCTTGATATGCCAAAGACAAGCTAGGACTTTAGAATAGCTCTCTCATTACAAACATGTTAGCAAAGAAAAGCTGCAAATATAGAGAATTTCAAATCTGTGTATCAGGGTCTAGCTTTTTGCAGTATTTCAGATTACTTTCTCTGAAAGCTGAATTTATTTTGTCTCTTTTACAGGTTTAAGTCATGTGGAAAAGAATCGTTTTGCAATCATGAAAGACTTCATTCAAAGACTGAGCACTCCAGAACGTCAAATCCTAACTGGCAGACCGGTACAAAAGTCAGTGAAGTCGTTCAGTCTTCAGTACACATACCCCAAATGTCTTAAACCAAAGGTTATTTCAGGTAACAGGAACACATCTTTTAAAGGCTCTTATCCTAAATGCCCCCTTTGGCATGATTAAAGTAATTTATATATGGACATGGAGGTGAAATGTTTAAAATTACAATGCTACAGATATGGATCCGGCACAAAACACAATTGAAGACATAATGCTGAGAATCTGTCACCTTGAAAATGTTGGAAACACCAAAGGAGTTTGTCTCTACACAGTAGATGGGATGCCCTTGACAGACGATCCCTTCTTCAACACATGTGAGTCAGCAATGGAGGAGTGAATGATTCTATACAGTTAGGTCTATTTAGGTTTTGGACACTGACCTTTTTAAAAACTATTTTATTGTGTACCAAAACATGTTAGTTACATTTAGAAGATTAATATGAGTAATAGGTCTAATAAGACTTTCATCTGGGACTCAAGGGATTGAACAAAAATACTCCAGTAACTTTTAAGGAATTGTAGTCACTTTTATACACACTTTATTTTCAAGTGCTTTAACCTCCTAAGACCTGAACTCTTCCACAGCATGCATTTTTAATTTCTCTTTGATATTTGGACTGATTGGAACCTGATGAATGTAAAAACAAAGAATTACCAGATTTTTTTTTTTTTACCTGATTTTTGTTTCTAAGAAAAATGAGAGCCACATATAAGGATATTCGTTTAAAATTTCAATAGGACAGTAGCAGTATAATGTCCCCGTAAGTGGATATCAGGCCCTTGTAGAGCAAAATTTTGTATTTTGGTCTAAATAACCCAAAATGTGATGTCCACATATGTGGACGCCAGGTCCTAGGTTAAAATGTGTCTGTCCAAAAATACTTAACTATATTTGTCAAGTCATCTTAATTTGTGCACTTTTCTCACGTGAAATGGATTGATGCATCTATTCCAGGTGTTTAACTTGATTTCACTCAATTACCACACAGATCACCTATAGGTGAAAAACCTTTAAATTGAAGCCCCAAAAGATACAATACCATGTTTGTTATCACACAACAACATATAAAACATTTCCTTCATTAAGTACAGGTAAAATGTCCATTACTGTCCGCACACATCAATAGTCTTACAAACAGAGACTAAAACTAAACAATGGAGCTGCTTATAAATGGGCAGTCGACCTGCGATACAATGATAATGCTACTTAAGCTAGTGGTAGCTGCGATTCTTTAGCAATTTTTTAAACAGTCTTTTAGCTTAGCTAGCTTAGCCAGACAATATCTCCACCAGTGACATTTCTATGTGCAGTGTGCCACTTGCTCCTTACCAGAGATGGGCGTTACTGTAATCCGATGACTTTTTTCAAGTAACAAATAAAGCAAGGGATTACTGTTGCAAAAACGGTAATTAGATTACCGTTACTTTCCCGTAGGAACGCTGCATTACTGCGTTACTAAAACCGTGATTTTTTTTTTTTGCAAGAATGTCTCATGACAGTGAGGTAAGCAAGTGCAACGTTCGTGACAACAGCTGTGTGCAGATCAACAATGGATAATATATCGAGTGCGGGAGAGAGTATGAGCGTGCAGCGTTTAAAGCGTGGAAGTACTGACCTTACTTTGAGTTTGATTCCATAAAAAGTGACAAAAACATTAGCGTCCGTTGTGCGTGGGAAGAAAACTTCTTTTTACAGCAAACCCCTAAACTCCAAGCAAGTGCGCTACGACGTAATGGGAAATTCACAGAGAAACTCGCGGATTCTTCCACTGACCGCTGCGGCACACCTGCACCAGGGTAAACCTCCGCCTACCCACTCCTGCTTTACAGGTGAAAATAGAGCAAAAGGACCGCTAGTCTTTGACTTTATTTATTTTCTGCTGTGTTTTACTTGCATCTATTTGAAAGACTGAGTGTAAACACAAAAAATATTTTATTTTATGTGCTGGAATGTGCAGAAAATAGGTTTAAATGTTAAACAATTTCTTCCAGTCAGAGAATGTTGCATATAATTAAATTTTTGCTTGATGCATAAAGTTAAAAGATTAAAACTAATAAAACAAGTTTTAAAAAGAGACTTTTCCATTTGATTACATTTTGTATGATGGATTATGCAGAAAAAGTAGAATTGGGCTGAAAGATCTATCGCTTTATCACCTATTCAGGTTGTAAATCGTGTTTTTAAAAAGTAACTAAGTAACTAAGTAATTAATTACTTTTGAAAATAAGTAATCAGTAAAGTAACGGGATTACTTTTTTGGGGAAGTAATCAGTAATTAGTTACTGATTACTTTTTTCAAGTAACTTGACCAACACTGCTCCTTACAAAAAATTGGACCAGCAGGTTGGCTCCAGGACCTCCAAAAACTGTGTCACTTCTGCCTGAATTGCTTGAAGTCTCTTATAGGGGTAAACGGAAAAGTCAAACATCTTGAAGTCCCCACTTTGGGATGCTCGACCAAGCAAAAGACTGTTAGGTGTGACGTAATGAATGCAACCTTCCCGACTCTGTACTCTGGCATCAATCGGGCGCTCATTTGCAAGGTTAGCTGCCACATGAAGAGCTGTCTGGAACTCACTGTAACTTAGCCCAGACTCCCTTCCAAGACTATGGAGTGCTCTCTTCACAATGCGCACAGCAGCCTCAGCACTCCTATTCCTATGTGGGTAAACAGCAGGATTAACTTTCCACATCTGCTGTGTTCCATTTTTTGATGCACCTTTCTCCAAGACCAATTTGTTCTGAGTTCCCAAGGACCCAGAGCCCGTGTCTCTGTATACTACTAGTCTATCTCTAGTAGTGCTTTGTAGTGATTTTAACAAAGTAACTGTATTCTGAATATCACCTTTTTAAATGGTAACTGTAACAGAATAAAATTACTCATATTTTTTATTTTAAATACGTAACGCCGGTACGTGTATTTCGTTACTCCCCAACACTGCCTAGGCAGAAAACACCTTTATTTCTGGTCACAGAAACAGAATGTTAACATGATTGGTAGAATCAGTTGAGGGTGGCCCTAGCTCTGATATCAGCCCACATTTCTTCTTCTGCACCTTTTTGAGGGAACACTCCCATTACAATGGCAACCATCTCTTGTCCTCCAGTCAGGCCTGTAGTGTCAAAGAAGGGGGGAAGAGTTCATTCCATAACACCAGATTTATGGCCCTGTTGTCTTGTAGAAATCACAACCCCCAGGTCACATTACTGAAAAGGGGTCTTGTCTTGTGTCTTGTCTGTTAGTATCAGAGTGTTACAGACTGCTTCCAAAACTACTCTACAATACACAACTATGTGCAGCAAATGTGTGATGCTATTTATGAGGGATATAGCCTTAAAGTTAAAAAATAAATTCTAATAGTACTAAGATTGCTCTTTTTTGCTTAGCAGGAGTTACCAATCCGAGTGGGTAATACAACCCTGACACTTGGCTGAGCAGCTCTCTCCATGTCAGCGGGTTTGGTGTTTCAGGCTTCTCAGATAATTGCCTCTCCATCCGTAGAAATGATCTCACAAGTTTGAGTGGTATATCTGGAAAGAGCATTTGCGCCTTCTTCGGTTTAACATATTTGCTGCCTAGTCCACAACAGACCAATTGGTGTGGCCTGTGGATTCTTCTAGGGGTTCTGATTCAGATCTGTAAAAGATCCCGGCTTATTGTCACACGAGTTTTCATTCCCCTAATTCCATGGACAACCAAAGTGATCTCTTCACTTCTTAGGTTAATACTTGCAACCCTGTGGGTTGTATAGTTGGTGTCAAAAGCCAGGTCAATTAAAGTCACAATTTTTTGCCCAGCATTAGCTGTTACCTCAAGGAGCATCATAACCACTGGTAGTTCTTGCAATCCAACTTCAAACAGGAGACTCGGCTGCTCTTTGGTGGTGCTGCATGCCCTGGATGCAGTATTTCAAAATGCATCTCTGTATTCTTTTGCCACTTCAGGTGACAGTTTTCTGAGGAACTTCTTCTGATCTTTTTTACATATCCTCCTGACATTTTCTCCCTCCGATTGCCAAAGCAATTTTCTAAAAGACGGAAGATATCACCTGCAGTGTTGCCAAGAAACTTGGGCCGTCGGTTTTAGTTTGATGGTTGGCATGGGACAACTGAAGGTCATTGACAATGGCGTCAGCCATTTAGCTTCCTCCCTTATCCTCATCTGCATAAAGTCAGCTTTTCCGAAACCTCTGTAGGTTACTTTAAAGGTCCCTCTGAAAACTTGATGAATTATGATACCATTACATTTTGAATTTGTTGCCTGTAAGTTACGTTTTCACTCTGTAGTTCCATCTGTTAATAGGTAAGAAATCTGCTAGAAAAATATAGGCTTTAATGTATCATTGAAACAGGATTAGTAGGAAATAAATCTTGTCTATTATCCAAATACAAGCAGGTTTTAGGGTAAGACTTATAATCACATGATACCATGGGAGAGTTCATTTACAAACTTGAATGAATAGTTTTCAGACTGCTGGTAAGCGCTAGCAGTTTCTAAAATGATTTTGGTCATAGGAAATGAATATACTTTCATACATGTAGATGGGACACTTTAAAAATTAATTAATTATTGTTTTATTTTTTAATTATTTTTTGTTAACTGTGGATCTGGCACAGTTATTCTATTTATTATGTTCTTTTCCAGGGTCTTTGAAAGAAAGACACATTGAAAATGGAGCTGTAATTTATGCTATTTTTACTCCGAGGGAAAACTTGACAGAGGCTCCAAAAATGCTAAGACAAGAGTCTGGCAAGACCTCTGGAACAGATGTCATTCGATGTCACATCATGCTCAAGGTGCGTCTTAACAACAGTATGCTGCTCAATTGAGGATATTGGCAACTGCTAGCAAATGAAACTGGCCAGTCAATTTTCATATTATATCTTTACGGTGGAACAAATGACCTGTAATGATTTCTGAAATCTGTTATTTTGCTTAGACACAGTGGTTTTAAGTAGTATCTGAGTTTCTCTAAGCCCCATTTTAAAAATGAGGGGAAAATATACCTTCACTTGATAAACAGTCTTTCTGTTGAGGAGGGAAGAATAAAATGGCAGAAATAAAGTGAATCAATTATTTTTATTAATGTATAGTTTATTGTTGTAAATGTCAGCCTTCATTTTTAACATGTATATAAAGTTATAATTGAAATTAATTCTGTACCTTTAACATATTTTTCTTTACCTGTTAAGGGAAACTTTGAGATTATGGTGAATTTGGAAACTGACACAATCGCAACTCTAAAAGTGATCCTGTCAAATGCAAGTGGAATACCAGCACATGTCCTCCATCCCAGGTAAACTGCCTCACAAAAAAGTGTTTTTTTACCCATCAGACGTAAAAGGCTGAAAAAGTGTTGTCATCACTCTGCTCCGAGCAGGGACAACCTGGTTTGTGAATACAATCACTCCAGAACAAAGCAACACAGGATATTGAAAGTCATACCATATTTAGATCTATTAAAAGACCTTAACCTCAAGGTCAGAGGTCAAGGTTTCTCTTAACTGGAAGAAGCAAGTCACCTAGGCTTTTCACATTCCATCCACTCATTTACTAGAAAACTAAGGGTAGCATTGGTAGCCACCAGTATTTTTGTTACTTGTCACCCATCGCCACCCCCACATTCACATGCTTAAAGTCTTAGCATTGATGGAGTTCTTCTGTTCTCTGGTGTCCCTGTTTTATATAGAGGTAATAATTTGGGTGGTGATACACTTCAAAAGTGTGGAATCTCTGAAGGGTCGACTATTGCCTTCGCTCTGTCCTCGTTTACTGAAGAGACTCCCCTTGATGAAACTTTCTACATCAATGATGTCGTGCCTTCAGTCCAACAAAGCCAGAAAGGAATCAGTGTGTTGCTGTCTTCTCTTTATGCTGTTGCGGTAAGCTGTTTTATGTTTAACACACTGTCCCATATTGTCCCATTGTCTTGCTATCCTATGAACATGAACTTTATTTATTCATGCCTAGCCTGTCTTCAAGCCTGGTGATATTCTGTGTTTTTGAAACGGATAGCTGAAAGACTACATAACAGATGATTGCACACAGAAATTCACATAAAGTCCTTACATTCAGTCCAGGCATTGGTGAACCTCAGAAATTCTTCCACAAATAATGACGAGGTTGATGCGGGACAGCGATTTAGCAGTAGAACCACATATTCACTCTTTACATTGCGTTTACGTAGGAATATCATCAGAATACAACCAGTTGCCACCTTGTTAAGTAGAGTTCCCTATTTTAGAGAGAGGCATTGCAGATGAGTTGCTTTTATGGGTGCAGACACACTCAGATTGATTGCAACATGTTGGCAGTCTGTCATTGCTTAGCAGTTATTTGCAAAGCTTCGCCAGTCTGGTTGAGAGTGACTGTAGTCAAGCTACAACTGTTTGGAGGCATGTTGTTTGCCACCAGGCAACCTGTTCAATCACATTACGATTGAAGTGTTCAATTGGTTCTCAAAAGCAAAGAAGGAATCAGTCTATTTTCATTCTGGTTATAGTTTTGTCTTTGTGACCTCTGTACTTGGAAAAAATAGCCAAAATCACAGAGCAGCTATTATAACTAGACTGTATGGTGAATTTATTAAAAAAAAAAAAAAAAGATGCCATGGCTACTGTGAATCAATGAACCTCCTTATTGAAATTTTTTTCATCAGTTGAAATATAGCTTTGTCTTCAGCAGCCCATTTGTCCAGTATTAACCCTGGAGAAATAAACACTGTGGGTTCTTTATTGTGCACTTTGTTGACCTGTGTTCACAAACTAAACTGAAATGTGGTAAATTTAGTTTAGATTGTGTTTAATTTTTCTGATTAACCCAAATTCTAATATTTCTGTGTATTTACTTGTAGAAAGACCTTTCTGAAATAATCCGGAACAAACTGATAGCTTACATACGAAAATTGACGGGATGTAACCCCCTCACCCAAAGTTTGCATCAGTTACTCTGCAGGAATGAAAAGATGACCAGGAACCAGAAGGTAAAAAGTGTGAGGTGGTGTAAGACTTGTTACAGTTTTAGACTATCTTCTTCATAAATAGAGGACAGCTGACATGCTGCTGCAGTTTTAAGTCTTTGGACCACTGGCCTCATAATCCTCCAACAAATCTGGTATCAGACTTTTATGTGACTTTTTGCATGTTTTGTCCACTGATTTTAACACAGCAGCTTTTTGCACGCCACCTCGCACCTGCTATGTGGTGATTTAGGCTGTAAAACATGCATCATTTTGAGTGTACTGTAATTTTATTTCATTTATTTAATTAAAATGATATTGCCATGATGGTAACTTGTGATTGTAACCATCTGAAGTGTCACAGTATTCATGAATGTAGAGATATGACATGCCTGTTTCCATGTATGTGTGTCTCATGCAGGAAGCATGTAAAAGGCTCATCGTTTGTACAGTATATAACTGTAATTTACTCGCTGCTTATTTTGCGTGAAAATTTTGTTGTATACTGACTGATTTCTTGCAGATTGCAGTTGTTGAGGGCTTATACATGCTCTTCAGGGAGTTATTGCCCCAGCAAGCAACACAGCGAGGGAAAAAAATCATAGAGGACCAGGATGTCTTTGAGAATTCATTGTACTGCTGGGCACATCTCCTTTCAAAAATTGAGGTATAACTGAGTTTATTTTTGAACAGAAGCTGGTCTTTCCCAGTATTTTGTATAGATATTATCTCTGTAGTTTAAATGTATCATACTTGGCTCTGTTTTGACAGAAACAAGCATCAAACCATGAAGTCTATGCTCCCATCTCTCTCGTGTCCAAAGATGGTGACCATTTCTGCGAACCTGTCAGAGTACCTGGAGTACCAGATGTCTTTGAAAGGGCGTACGTCCTTCAGAAAATCAAAGGTACAAATAGCACTGAAAGAGTTTAAACTATAAAGTTGAAAGGTTTTAATGTGTCTAAATGAATATAGTTTTAATATTTTATGTCATTTTTGCTGCAATACTAGTTTATTAATTACTTTGCATATTCAAATAAAATAAATAAAATAAAAATAACCGGATTTGACAGTATAAAGCATCCATAATGAGAGAGCCATTAAAGGTAGCACTTTCTTCAGCCTGGTGCAGTGATAGCTATGTATTAAAATAAAAATTTATAGAACTGTTAATTATTTTAAAATGAACTCTTGTGCACAAGCATTGCTGCATCACCAGATGTAAAACGTTAGTTGGTTAGAATTTTTACTAAATTGCATTATGGTGGTGAATTATGTGTTTCTGGCTTCTTTTTATTTTGTTTAGATGGAGAGAAAATTCCAAATTGCACCGAAGAGCCTTTACAAGAATTCTCACTACAGAGAGCCACTGACATTGAGAAAATCCTGCTCAGCATTCCTCGATTTGTCCGAACGTATCCTCTGTGGAGTCACCACGACAAGACATCTGGTCAGAAGTATGTGTGACTGAGTTATTTCTTTCAACACAACTTGAGCAGATTTCCTTTACTTTCTGTTGGTATAGATAACAAATTAAGATACACCTATGCACAGCTGAACAGTAAAAATTATTGACTTAGTTAGGTTTAAAGTATATGCTTGCTCTGGAGGTGGTTTTTAATGAATGCCATTCAATTTCTCATGAATTCTTGATTATTCATTCATGATTGTTTTTAGTAATACAGTATTGTCCACAAGTCTTGACCCACCACTCATTTCTTTATATTTGCGTCCAAGGAGCCAGGATCATTTTCAGAAGAATTGCTTTGTTTTTTCAAGCCACTTAGCACTGACCTGAATCATGTTTTAAAAAAATGATCCCAAACACACTGCAAATGCAATAAAGGCAAACTGGATAGAAAAACAACACTATTGGCGTGTTGTACCATTCTTGGTATGTGCCTGGCTCAAGTGTTGAAATTAGTTGTTTCCACCTATAGCAGGATCAGTTTTGCAAAGTATTGTGCTTCTTTGGGATTTGTTTAAATGTCTTCCTTTTTAGGTGGTAAATTGTCATCGAAGGCTGACATGCTGTCAGACAGGCATAAACATATGGTACTGCAATACAAAAAGATATTGCGATATGACACTTTTATATAACACACAAATTTATGCCATTATTATCTCAGAAAATATATGGCACAGCCCTGTTATGTACTTTGTTTCCATCTAAATTTGCACGTTTTAATAAATCCCTGCACCCATCTCCCATTTTTCAAGTAAAATACAAAGAAATTAAGAGTAACTCAAGGCCCAAGGCGCTGTGATGTATTTTAACCTGACAGTGTCTAGTCTACACTGCCCAATGCTTGAATATCCTATGCAAGCAGTCTGAGTTAAAACATAGTTTTGAGTTAGTTAGTTTTTATTATTAATTATTATATATTAATTACACATATTAATCTGGTGTCTAGGATTGTCTCAAAGACAATATAAACAGGTTGAATAATGACTTGTTTTAAAGATTTTTTTTTTTTACTAATTCATTGAATGAAACAGCTTTCAGGTGAATATTCAGTGGACTTTTGGCAGCATGGTGGAACGTTTGAAATCTTTCCCTCGCCTTAATGTGACCCCACCTCTACATCTGAAGGACCTGGGACATTATCAGAGCTGCCTTGTTCTACTTAGTGAAGGTATTTCATCCTTTTCCAGTCTAAATATTCACATCTTTCAGTGAAACATCATTTTTATACCTTACAAACACTTGTATCATACAGCAGATGCCACTGACTTGTCAGGTTTTAGTCCACAGATGTGTTCATTTTGCAGAAGTCTAAGTCTAAATTGAGGGGTATGTTCCTCCTTTGCTTAGATTGTCTCTACTGTTGCTCCTGTTACAGTAGAACTGTTAGTCACTTTAAATTAAGTGGACAAGGAATTTCCACCAGTTCCCCTACTTTGCCTTTGACCTCTGACATCAAGTTTTTATCATGTGTGTTGGGAGGTGTTATACTTAATGTTTGCTTCATTTTCATATTTCTCTGTCAGATAATCTGGGCATTTATTTGCATAAAAACAAAAGAGCAGCTGATATGATCGAAGTGCACAATTGTCTGGATGGAAAAGTAAAAACAATGGATTTAAACTTGCTAGCAGCCAAGTGAGTACCTAAACCAAAACAAAATGGAGTGAACTAATGAAAGGCAGACTCATTCTGGCACATATTATATGCTTTAATACATGCAGGCTGCTGGAGTCTTCTATGATGAACTGAGAGTTTCTTCTTCACTTACCTGTTTTCACACTGTTTATACACCATTTTGCATTTAATTATCAGTTATTATTAATTTCTGGCTCTTCCAGCGTGTCTTTTAGCCTGTCTTCCTCCCCTCCCCCAGCCAGTCACAGCAGATTACTGCCCCTCTCTGAGCTTGGTTTCTGCTGGAAGTTTCTTCCTGTTTCTTTCCTTCCCACTGTCACCAAGTGCTTGCTCATAGTGGCTTGTCTGATCCTTTTTTTCTTTATCTCACAAGATAAAATGCCTAAAAGCTACTGTTGTTGTGATTTGGTGCTATATAATAAAATTCAATTGAACTGAATTGTGCATCTTGATCTGCATTAAAGGCACAATCTACCCACCCGATAACAGGAAATTCACATAGTATGTGATGCTTGTCTCGTCTTAACTGTGTAAAGCTATAAAGATGGTGTTTTGTCTTTTTTTAAATACAGCACTGGTGACCACAGAGACGACCAGTCATTTGTTACAACCAGGACTCCAGAAGAGGCAATACTGGTGAGATCTGGGGAAATTTTCAGTTCTAAAGGAATCGAATCAAAACATTTGCTAAACATTTCCTCTTCCTGACTTTATTACTTTAGGTACTGATCGATACAAGCTCCTCGATGGAAGAGGAGTGCTACGAAAATGCAGAAATAAAGAAAATCAATGCTGTCAAAGAGCTCTTTGACAACTTTGCCACGAGGAGCATGGCGTATGATTTCCATCACGTCATTGGTCTTGTAAAGTTTGACTCCATGGTGAAAATGCTCCACACATTCACAGAAAATCTGGAGAAGTTCAAGGTGATCGCAAAACATTGTGAAGATGGAAGGCTTTCCTCTGGAAGCTTGTTACCTCCGCTCAAGAAGAATTTTATTGCCCTCTATATTTAAAAATTGTGAGGTGGTATTATGTGTGAGGAAATTTTGACATACTCAGAATAACTGAGTTTTGAGATACCTGATCAGTACCTCGAAGTTTTGATAGAATAAAGCTAAAAAAAATAAATATTTAACTTGGGTCAGCCTGGCAGCTTTTTTCTTCCCATTTTCCAGTAAATAAATAAACATGCTGTAAATGAACAACTTGTTCGGTGGCGCTAATATAAATTTTTTTCCTTGTCGCCTTTTTGGGGTTCTTTTGTTTTTTAGGTCCACACACGTAACCTTGAGGCGAGCGGATGTACTCTGCTGTACGACGCGCTACGACGTGGAGCTTCAGAGCTGGAAAAGGTCAAGGCGAGCTTCCCAGATTGTAGACTCCGCGTCCTGTGCCTCACTGATGGCAATGATTCTGGGTAAGTTTCCCTTTCTGCTTAAGTTGCCTTTGATCACCCATCAATTATGTTTTTCTGGGGCAGCAGCTGACTGTTTTCATCTTGCCATAGGTCTTTTATGGACCCAGTTGCTGTGACAGCCAAGCTGCTGAAATCAAACGTCACTGTGGATTCAATCCTTCTTGGAAATGTGGAAAACAACATGCTCCATGGAATCAGCAATGCAACAGGTAAAACTATATATATGTATAAAATAATGCACAATTCTCTGCCCTTAAAAGTAAAAAAAAATATCCCATGTTTAAATTAATCTAAAAGCTGCAATTTGTTGGAAGAGGAGTCTCACTGATTGTAAACAGTTCAACTGGTTTGTACAAAAGCTTTTTTCTCACACGCCTAAAAACATCACACTAGAACTCAACTCTGCCATGCACAACCCCCTATGCAAAAAAAAAGAAGTAAGGCCATGCTCTTGGATGCATTTTTTAACCGGTGCGCCATCTGGAGGCTTGGACGTAATGAACTGTTTGCTATTTGGCATCTGCTTAATAGCTGGACACAAAATGATCATCAACAAAAAGTAGTGTCAGTTGCACATAGAAGCTGGTGTGTACTCTCTGTGTGAATTTAGGTAAATGCGAAATTGTTAATGGGAACCTGCAGCTGTTTAGAACTGGAATCGCAGGAAGCAAACCTGTAAATGGGCACGCATGGAATCAACTTTTGGCCCATTTTATTGGACCTTTGTGATTTCATCTCAACTGCTTTCAGGATTTTTTTTTCTTTCTGTGCTTTAGTTCTATAATCAGTTAACTGAGCATGAGACACTAACTTAGTCTCTACAGTATTTCTGGTATTTGTCATTATTTTCTGTATTTATATGTATCTGTATTAACAGTGTAGTCCTAAACTCTGGCTTATCTAAACATAATAAAGTTTAAAAAACAACAACATTTGATGCCAAAAAGGGCCAAACAGTGACTTACATTTTAATAATTCCTTTTTTTTGATATTTCAAACCCGTTTACAGGTGGCTGCTGTTTCAAACCACAGACAGTCAAAGATGGTCTGAAACTCTTTGAGATCGAGACAGTTCTGTCTCTGGAACAGAGGAAGCCCAAGAAAAAACTTGACCCTTCTTCCATCACTGAGGTCTGTTTATAGTCTGTTTCAAAAGGAAATCTGATCACTCTTTAACTTCATACATGGCCGTCATATGGTTATTATATATTTTTCATGTTTTATAGGGAATACTTAAAAGCATGTTTACTACTCGGGGCTATGATGAATATCCAGAGACATCCTTGCCAAGCCAGATAAACAGCAAAGTGACGGTGACAGAAAGGTGAGTGACAGAAACATCCATCCTGTAGAAGCTAAGAACACACCTGATCAAAGAAAATGAGTTTCTTGAGCTGTTAATGAAACAATTTACTCTGCTTGCATGGTTTATCTAATCCAGTGTTTCCCAAACACTGTGCCTGCGGCACATAGGTGTGTCGTTAGAAATGATACGGTGTGCTGTGGGAGATCGTCTGGTTCCACCTGACTTTAAGCGAGAGCAACAGGCAGAACAATTACGTTATTTCCCACTTGAAGGCAGTACATATACCATATACCTCCTCTATTTAAATGGGTCACCAACTGCCAGTAAAACAGAAGAAGGTGAAGAAGAACTTGCATAATAGTCATGCTGTGAGATGACGCAGCACGAATAGCAATAGATGAATATTTGATAAGAAAAAGTGGTCAGTCTGACCTGGGTCCTGGGGAAAATTCTGACCCAGATGAAAGGCTTAGCATGAGTAGTGGTCAGAAGAAACCAAAAAGGTATACTGGGGACAAACCGAGCCAATTCCGCTATACCTGGTGCCCGGGGAAAATGTATCAATATGCTTTTTGTGACATTTTTGTTTGGTGGTGTGCCGCGTGATTTTTCTGATGTGAAATATGTTCTAATCTGTCCAATATAGTTTTGTTCAACTGTCCAAAATATGAAGAGATTCGACTTATAGTCATACCTCAAGAGAAAAAGTAGTCTGCTTCCACTTAAGACATCAGTAAATGTCAGTTTTCATGCAACTACTTTTTTTTCCCACTGTAGTTGGCAGATTACTGCGAAATCTTATTTTTACAAGGTTCTGACACCCAGTTGAAGCACCGCCCAACAGGACAGGTAGTGCATCAGGCGCCATGGAAGCTGGGTTTTTATTTTTAAAAATGTGTATAGGCTTCCTGACAAAAAGCATGTCATTTAGCACGTACTTGTATAAGTTTCACGACAGTCTAAAATATTTTGTTGATTAAGACTCAATGCCTCCTTAGTCTTGTCCCATATGAATAGCAATAATTTTGACTTTTTGTGGTCCTTTTTTATTACATGCATTCCTTATGAAACATTATATAAAATGCATTCAATTCAAAACAGTGCTCTGAAGAAGAAGATTCGGGAGGCAAAGGATGGTCGTTTCATGGAGAAGGACAAACGTATCGTGGAGGAGCTCAAGTGCCTGCATTGTGACCCTCATCCTTTCTTTAGAGTCTATCCATCAGAGTCAGACTTAAGTAAGTGATGTGGTCTCTCCCCTGACCTGTGTTTGTATTGCTCTGTGTATTTTATTTGATCTGGGCTGCCTGATAGACCCATAAAATCAGTGTTTTCATTGTGATGCAGCTGATGAATTCTTGCTTTGTGGTAGATCTTTATTCTGTATTCATTGGGAGATTTGAATGCTAATCAAACAATTAAATGAAAAGAAAATGAATGCAGCATGTTGATTACTTATTAGGGATTTGTGTTTGCAGTCATTGTACTGTTGAGAGCTGCATAGCAACACTTTCTAGGACCTGTAGTGAATAGCAACAATGTTTGATTGTTTTCTGATTTTCAGCGTTCTGGAGGATTCTCATGCAAGGACCTCCTGACACACCATATGAGAAAGGAGTGTTTGAGCTGTACTGCCAGTTTGGTCCTGAATACCCAGTGAAGCCTCCACTCGTTCGCTTTGTCACACGTGTATCCTGACAAAATACAAACAAAAGCTGTTTAGACATCTACAGTGTTCATATTAAAATGGTTTCCAGTTGTTAGGGTAATATGAAAGTGGTTATTGCATGTGTGTTTCTCGTAGCGAGCATTTATCTTAACACAGCGGCAGGTGTACCACTGCAATGTCAACAGTGTTGGCCGCATCTGCCACAACATATTTGATCGCAGCTACAACGCCCACGTCACCATGAGGGACATATTTGATGCTGTGTATGGACTCCTCATCATCCCTGAGCCTGATGACCCACTGGACAGGTGAGACATGCACAACTTCATTACTATATGCACTCAACAGCCACTTTATTAGTTACACATTGCTAGGACCAGATTTGACCCCTTTTTGCATTCAGAACTGTTTCAGTATGATCAGCTAGTATATTTGCATCTACAAGATGTTTGAGTATTTGATACAAGTTAATGATATGGATGATGAGCTGGTGTTCAGACCGAGGTGTGAGTTTTAGATGATCTCTGTGAGGGAAATGTCTCTCTAAACTGATAAACAGTCTGCTGAATTGTTCTGTGATTCTTGTAGAGCTCACTTTCTTCAGATGCTATTTCAGACCCCAGATATGAATACTTACATTTGCACATTAACCTTTTTTTGGAAGCATTTTAGCCGAGGAATTCCTGACGAGCCGCGAGACGTACGAGCGAGAAGCCAGAAAGCACACGGGAGAACATGCTGGAAAGTCAATGGATAGCATGGAGGAGGTGAGTGAGTGAACAGAGTATTTATGGGATTTTTCTGTTTTATGTAAAAGATTTTTTTTGTGATCACATTACTTTGACTTATTTTCCTTTCTAAAGAAACTGGTTGATCCTGTGCCAGAGTTTCTACCACAACATCTGATTTGTCCTCTAACCAAGAAGATGTTTGTTGATCCTGTGAAAACAGTATATGGCACCGTGTATGAAAGGAAAGCCATTGAGGAACACCTCAAACAGTGAGTTCAGGGGTTAAAAGTCCTCATAAAGTTCCAAAAGTTGCCTCACAGTCTGTTTTATTAGCAATGTTAACTTGCTTTTGGCTTTTCACTAAATGATCAGGCAGATTATGTTCTAGGGTTGTGAATCTCCACTCTCTCTTCCAGACACCGGTATGATCCGATGGCTGGCCCAGGAAACGAGCTTGATGCGAGTGACATGATGGCGGACAGGGACATGAAGAAAATGGTGATGGATCATCGAGCTCGCCAAATTCAGTGAATGTGGGAGAGAACAGACTGACTGAAGATTAGCTAGATTTTTATAGGGGTTTCTTTTTTTCTTCTTTTTTTTCTTTTTCTCTCAGCTTGTTGGTGCTGTGGTGTTTCTATCACAGAACCTCTGAACAAGTTACTCAGTTAGTGAAGTCTCAGGTCGGTTTTTCTATCCATTTCTGAAAATTTGTTTATAAAGGACTCTGAGCACTTAATACAATTTTTATTCACTGTTCATTGCATACTTTTATAGAACTTCTTCTACAAGAGACAAACCAGCCTTCCTGTATGGGAAAGTCAAATATCGTAGGAATTTCAGCTGCATAGCCGCTAATATAAAAACATGTTCAGTTCACAGTTGATTATGCTGTTCATTATTTGACCAAATTTCTTGATTATCTTCTGTTTTTGAAGTGATTAATAAGAGTTCATTGCAATTATTGTGGTTGCGATTATATAATAAAGTATAAAAATGAGTGATGGCAGATTTTCTGGTATTTCTAGCTCATTCTTTTATTCTTACTCGTGTTCCAAATTCAGACTAGATTCTTAGAGTGTAGACAGAGCACTATATAGAAGGTATGAAGGAGTTGCACTGTATCTTTGTGGATTTAAAGAAAGCATGAGAGGAACTATCTCCATGAGGAAGTCAGGGGTATTCTTGGGTTGAGGTCATTACTCTCTGCAGGCCAATCAAGTTCTATCACACCAAACTTTGTTAATCATGTCTTGGAACAGGAAGGGGAAAATCCCCAAGTTGTGACCTTGAAAGTCTCCAAAATATCTCGGTATGCAGAAGCATGAGGAGTTACTTTCACTGGAACAATGGGTCTGAGTTTTAAAAATATTAAAATTAAAAGAAAATTTCAATGGTCTCTGACATAAAAGCTGCATTTTTAAACATTTATTTAAAAGATTTGTTTTAAAGGTTTTTAAAAAGCTTCGTATGATGTTTCTTCTACCACCATGTTTGCTGTTTGCGGACTTCTGTCAAGTGTAATAGGTTAATAAATAACCAATCACCGCCGCCATTTCCTCTTACATCACGTCTAAATGGCACGAAGTGAATCACTGAGGCCTTCAAATTAAATGTCAACGAGGTTGGAAAAACATTGAGCACTTAACATCATTGTACAGTTATAGGTCATTTTAAAACATTATGTCATTACAAATTAAGCTGTTTGGTTTTAAGCCTGCTTACGTCCTTTCGGGTTGAATTTCTAACGCAATATTGTAAACACGCTTTTATTTTGAAGGCCATCACCGGAAGAGTATTATCCGCGTTTTTTGCTTTTTGCTTTACTTGTGCCCAGCGCTCTGGGTGGTGTCGACTCGACAGATTTGAGTCTGAACAGGACGAAGCGGACAGCAGGTGAGCACTTTACCTATTGTAAAACGTAAACACGTTGACGGTTATTCTTCTTTTCCCACTTTCTTTAACTTGTTTTTACTAAAAATGCACTTAATGCCCGCACAAACCGGTGTTTTTACTTAGCCCACCCTGAACGTTGGTCGTAACCGTAGTTTAATCTAAATGAAATAAAAGTTAGTGGATGCTGTAATAAAATATCACACAAACCTTAACTTTGGTAGTCATATAGGTAGCACTGAGAATCATGGATAACTAAATTACGTTAAAATCTAAATAAAAGTATCAGTCTTTTCATTTTCTCTGAGCTGCATGTGCACTTAAGACGTGCGGCTTTTGCAGAGGCAGCCTGTCTTTCCTGCAGCACCGGTTTATCCTAACGATTTGTTAAATCAGTGCACAAGTGTTGCGAAAGTAGAAACTCGTTTTGAAAATGGAGTACATCACAGCGGATCTGTAGAGATTCCCCATTTGCCCTTCACAATAATGGAAGAAGTGCCTCCAGAAAGGTGTGGACACACAAACACTGGATTAAACTGATTAAATCACAACAGCATGCTGCAGGGAGAAGAGGCAAAATATTCACTTGTGTTTCATGAAATAAAAAAAACAAGTGAGAAATAATAGTCTTCATTTTAGGAATTTGTAAATAAGTGTGAAACATGTAAGCGTTTACTCTAAGCATAAGTCACTGTGGGTCGGGCTACGGATGCTGTCTTATATGTGCTAAAAGGGGAAAACGAGGATCCACCTCAAGTAATCAGCTGCAGTACATGCCCAGCTAATAAATTCATGCATATTACAAGTCAATACCTACAAAGATAACAGGCTAATTCTGTCATCTACTTACTTACTAGTAGTAATATCCATCCATCCATCCATTCGCTTCCGCTTATCCTTTTCAGGGTCGCGGGGGGCGCTGGAGCCTATCCCAGCTGTCATAGGGCGAGAGGCGGGGTACACCCTGGACAGGTCGCCAGTCTGTCGCAGGGCTAACACACAGGGACAGACAACCATTCACTCACATTCACTCACATTCACACCTAGTGGCAATTTGGATTATCCAATTAACCTATCCCCACAAGCTGCATGTCTTTGGACGGTGGGAGGAAGCCGGAGTACCCGGAGAGAACCCACGCAAACACGGGGAGAACATGCAAACTCCACACAGAAAGACCCCGGCCTGATGTGGAATTGAACTCAGGACCTTCTTGCTGTGCGGCAACAGTGCTAACCACCGTGCACTGGGTATCGTCACTGATTTCTAGAATCGATTCAATTCCGATTCACAAGGTCCCGAATCGATTCGATCCACGATTCGATTTAATTCGATTCAATTCGATTTAAATCTGGGAAATTTTGACAGTCAGAAATATTATAATTCAGATCAGTACATTTACATATTTTTGTATCAATAAAAAGGAAGCTGACACACGCAAGACTTTATCAAAGGTGTGAGCGTCACAGCAGATGCCTTTGTGTCAAAGTAGCTGAAGATAAAACACAGAAAAACATGAAGGTGATTTTCCTGGCCTGGGATTTTATAAAAATATTCTGCAGTACATCAAAAACGAAAGAAAACCATTAATCAACATATGAACATTACCTCTGACGTTACAGCGGTTTTATTAGAGACACGGTTAAGCGTTTTGCATTTTGAATAATTTTAAAAAGTTTAAATTTGTTCAGTATTGAACAGCAGAAATGAGGTTTTCTTTTCGGAAGAATGTAAAAGGGAAAAAAACAGCGGCTGACAGCGCTGTAAACAACAGTAGACTGGTGCGTAACAAGCAAGCGAATAATGAAGAAAGGGAAACTGTTCTTGAAGTACAGAGAGAGAGAGAGAGGAGAGGAGAGAGAGAGAGCTGTGCATCGCGGTGGAAGCAAAACAGTAAAAGTCAGAGTGAATTCATGACGATGTTTATGTGAAGCGAGTTTGGATCTTCTTTTGCTGCTGGTTCGGTCAATATTGTTTGGAGAGACATCAAACTAACAGCTTTAGAATCAGCGCATAAAGGGCGTGAACACAAAGCGCGGACCCGCCGACAGATCAGAATCAGCGAGCTGTCGGCTTTCAGCCCCGACCGTGAGAAAGGCGACATCTAACTGATTCTGATCCGCGGGTCGCGCTGTGTGTTTAAGTCTATGTGCAGAATCCGTGTACCTGCTCTCATTTACTGTCTTAACTGTTTGGTGGTTCTTGAAATTTTGTGAGATGTCACCAGAGATTCTGGCATTTCGGGCAAAATAAATTTATATTAAAAAAATCGATTCAGGATTTTAATGAATCGATTTTACATTATCCAAGCCAGAATCGATTTTAATCGATGAATCGATTATAAAAACCCATCCCTAGTGCTAACCACCGTGCCACCGTGCTGCTAGTAGTAATACTCATGGAGTGTATTTAGATTTTTAACATAATTAAAAGAAAGTATTACTACTAATAATAATACTTTCTTTTAATTATGTTAAAAACCTAAATACTCCCCATTACTTTTTTTTTGGGGGGGGGGTTGCAGTTTCTCTGATTTCTGCATGGTCTCACCTTTAGGTGAATTTGCTGCCAGATCCTGCCCAAGAAAAACTGTTGTTGTTTTTTTTAACACACACCTGAATGCTCCAAACCAGCAAAAATCCCCTGGTTTTACAGGGGTGCTCTCACTTACTGATTAAGCACATTTGATTAGCAGTACCTGGCTGCTACTTACCCTTTTCATTACTATGGAAGTCAGACCATAGTAGCACCCTGCTGGACCAGCTGGGTGTTAAACGGTGAACACACACTGAGCCCGTGTTTGACCCTAAATATTTTATTTATTTTCATTTCTGTTTTTGGACTAAAATGTCCGTCCGTTGAACAGGGGAAACACTGTCTGTCTTCGGTTATGCTCATTATTTGTTAGGCTGACTTGTCTTTTTATACATCTCACTTAATGACCATATTAATACTAATAAATATTAATGTCTTTTCCCTAGAGAGATGTGGTGGGTGCTGTGGGTGCTCGCCATCTTGCTGGCTCTCTTCTGCATTGTGGATGTGTGGTACTTCCTGCGGGCCGCAGCGGTCATCCTGCGGGCCTGGTTTCAGCCTCCAGTCTGGGACATCACTGCGGAGCAGGTCCTAACAGGCCGGGTCACTCCCCATGACATCGACATGTGCCACATGAACAATGCTCGGTACCTCCGGGAATGTGACTTTGCTCGCTTCTCTCTCTACATGCGTAACGGCGTGTTTAAGGCTGTGCGGGCCCTCAAGGCTTCAATGGTGGTGGGGGCCACAACCATTCGTTATCGCAGGGCTCTGTGTATCGGAGAGGGTTATGAGCTGCGCAGTCGCATCGTCACTTGGGACGACAAAGCCTTTTTCCTTGAGCAGAGATTCGTGTCGACAAAAGATGGCTTGGTGTGTGCCGTGATGTACTGCAAGCAGAGTGTCATACGCAGCAGCCCGGACAAGATTCTGCAGCACCTGTGCAAAAGAAAGGTAAGGGAGGAAACCACACGGATGCATGAGTTACACACGCTGTCCCGCTGAATAACATTGAGCTTGTGTTTTGCACGCTGCAGGTGGAGTGCCCTGAGTTTCCAGAGGATCTTCAGCACTGGGTCAACTTCATCTCTGCCAGCAGCCAGGCCCTCAGGGCTGAGAGCGGCCTGGAGGAGAAGAACAAATAAAACCTTTCATGGGCAGATATTAAAAGTGGCGTCTTGTGAGTCAGCCTGTTTACAAGCCCAGGAGGAAAGTCTTCTCCTATTCAGAATCTCTTCACTTAAACACACTTGTGCCTGCACTTTGTACAACAAGCTTTATTTAAATTCCAACATTTGCAGATATGAAACACTTGATAACAGCACACTACATTATTCTGAGAGGTTGACAGTTATGGTAAAAATAATAATAATAAAATATTAGAAAATATAAGTAATACAGTTTTATAAGGTGTGTTATGATGTGGTGTGACAGCAATAAAACGAATTCAGGAAATTGGTTTGAAGTTTTTACTATAACCAAATGGGAAGAGATTAAACTACTTTATATGAGAGTGTGTGTGTTGCAGTGTGAACAGGTGTAGCAGGGAATGACATCATGCTTGAGTGATGGGATGATCACACAGTTTACATGTTTGCATGACCAGAACCGCCAGGACACATCAGCCTTTGTAACATCCACAGATTTCATGTAAAACTTAAAAAGTAAGCTGAAAATTCAGTCAGAACGACTGTGTCATGAATGCTGCCTGGACACTGAGTCATAAAGCATGTCACAAACACTTCTCATGCACACGGCTGACTGGCGGTTACAAGTGAGAACAGATTCAATACCATTTTTTCTTGATGTAAAAAAAAATAAGACCACAATAAATCAATCCAAAACTCTTCTCACTTTTCATGTCACCTGTAACCTTTACAATTCATCCGTCAGTTCACCCCCACTTCAGGGGGGCTGGAGCCTATCTATCTACCATAGGGCAAGAGGTGCGGTACACCCTGGACAGGTCGCCAGTCTGTCGCAGAGTTAACGCCAAGAGTCAGACAACCTTTTAAACCTATGAGCCATTTAGAATCACCAGTTAACCACCACAACTGCATGTCTTTGGACTGTGGGAGGAAATCTAAGTACTCGGAGACAACCCATGGAGAAAACCTAATACTTTGTTGAAGCGAATTTTTTTTCACAAAAACCTGGCATTTTAACAGGGCTGTGTACACTTTTTATGTCCACTGTAAACTAGAATTGGTTCAGAGGTTTGTAACAGTGGGAAAAAAGTACCCGGAAAAGA